GGATCCACCACTGAATTATTTATAATAAAACATGTGCAGTTTCTACTCAAAGTTCGTATATAAATAAAAAAGGAGTTTTCACGTGGAACGGCACCAATTTCATATTCTCAGGGGGTGCGTGCCTCAGGATGACATTTATCAATGCTTTGCGAGTTATACAGTGGTTAAATACTCTTATTGAGCTACCAATCTTCCTCTGGGAGAATCCATTTGAGTCATCGTTATTCTGCATATCGTAGCACCAATTTCGTGGTAAAGATATCTTGGACTTACTATATTAACGCTGTTTCCTCCTCGAATGTAGTTCATGACGTATTTTTTCTCACTGCTTTCACACTGCATTTTCTCTCACTTCCTTCATTTTCAGACTGCAATTTTTTCAAGTGTCTATGTTCGTCGTTCGGGTGTGTTTTCAACTTATCGTTATAATGTCAATTTCTGTCATTTGCCTTTGGCCTTTATTACTTTAATTGGGAGGCAAATTATCAATAATGCAAATCTAGTATGTTACCTCCATCTTACTGTTTTATTTATTGATTGTTTTATTGATGAATCAGAATGTAATGAATGCTTCACTTTTTCTGTAGCTTTCGGAATTTCTTGGATCCACCACACAATTATTTATAATAAAACATGTAGAGTTTGTACTCAATGTTCGTATATACCTACTTCATATTCTCAGGTGGTGCGTGCCTCAGGATGACCTTCATCAATGCTTTGCGAGTTACGCAGTACTTAAATACTTTTGCTGAGTTACCAATCTTCCTCTGCAAGAATCCATTTGAACCATCTTTATTCTGCATATCGTAGCACTAATTTCATGGTGAAGATATCTTGGAGTAGCTATGTTAACGCTGTTTCCTCGTCGAATGTAGTCCATGACGTATTCCTTCTCACTGCTTTCACACTGCATTTTCTCTCACTTCCTTCATCTTTAAACTGCAATTCTTTCAAGTTTTTAAGTTCGTTTTTCGGGTATATTTTCAACTTATCGTCATAAGGTTAATTTCTGTCATTTGCCTTTGTTCTTTATTACTTTCATTGGAAGGCACACTGTCAGGAATGCAAATCTGAAATGTTACCTCCATCTTACTGTTTTATTTATTGCTTTTTTATTGATAAGTAATGATTGCCTCACTTTTTCTGTAACTTTCGGAATTTCTTGGATCCACCACAGAATTATTTATACTAAAACATGTAGAGTTTGCACTCAAGGTTTCTATATAAAAAAAAAGGAGTTTTTACAGCGAACGTAATTTCGTTTTACTTTCCTCTAGATTTCTCATTTCTTTCCTTCTTCAGGCAGTCGCCTGTCATTTACATTTTTCTGACCTTATTGTTATGATGCATTTTGTTTTTATTTCAAACATTTTTGCATCTCAATTAGTAGCGGATTGTAATCAGTCAAATAACTAAAATTTTTAAAACCATCGTATCAGCATAAAAATAATAAGTAGTTATTTCAAGAAAAAATTGTCTAGAAAGATTAGGTGGGTTCATGAAGGTTATATTAATTACTGCAATGGTTGACGATCGAAATAGCAGAAGATGTTGAAAATGTTACAAGTTACAGATATTTACTACTAAATAATCACCTCATCGAGAGTGGCAAATATCCTAGCCTTGAAATATAAATCTTTTGAGGATCATTGAGAATATTTCTTTGAATTCTTTTAGAGGTGAGTTCGTCATTGCTCACATTAGAAATTATGTATTGCTTGGAATGTTTGATAAGATGTTGGCATGATTAAAAATAAAATTCACAAATATACAATTCTTTAAATAATAAGTTGTTTGAATCGTACATCACATATTTCTATAACAAATAAAATCGTACGATGAAATTAAAAACTCCTGAATTGTCTCCGTTCTTTAAAGTCGTATTAAAGTTAGTCGTATATATGCACTCAACATTTACAGTATAATTAGTTTATAAAAGTGACTCAAATTTGTTGTTATGCTTTATGTTTTAAAATAGCAACAAATTGTTCAGAAAAACAAAATGTGATTGGAAGTAATAAGTCCATACTTTATAGAAAATTTAAATATCATAAATAACCTCCTTTAGTTGGAGTAAGTGAATGATTTCTCTTTCAAAAACCCCCCATTACTTTTTATATTTTACTATTACGTCATTATATTAATTTCCATTTAAAGAGCGCGATCGTGACAGTGTTACGTTTTTGTATTGATTTTATATTCAGATAATATTTACACAGTATAGTGAAAGACATTATGAAATATTCTCCTTTCTTAACTTACCATCATGGATGATGTCTTCTATCAAGTCAAGTTCACTTATCATATGTTCCACGAAAAGCACATATTTTTATTATACTCGTAAGATTTTGTTTCCACAAACCTAAACACTTGTCTGTTATTCTCGAATTATTCACTTTAAATCCATTCAATCCATGGTCATTTTGGCATATACTATTTGTATGCACAGGATCGTGCAACTGACACAATTGTAAACAGTTTTGAAAGTAAGTTTAAATGCATAAAAGGATAAGACCTTCGCAATAACTGGTGTTCAGGTGAGATGGGTCTAGGAACCTGCACACAGAGAGGGAGATGTGGTCTTTTTACAAGAAATTTGAAAAAAAATCATAATAAAATTCTATGAATGTATTCAAGGGTTAAAATGAGAATACAATTATTTCCTTGTCGTTGCTTTGTTTATAAAAAAAAAAATGTTCCTGTT